AGAAAAGGAGCGAACACCACTAACTGAACCAGAACCCTCCCGTTTTCCAAGCGGGAACCAACTGAAAGCAGAACTGAAGAATCTGGAAGACTTCATTCCTAATGGGTGTCCTCCAACGGTCCAACGGTCTAAGACACTCGAAAAAGTTCTTCAGAACTTACGACCGAGAAAAATCATAGGTTTTCCTTGATTTAAGTAAAAATCTTCGGATTGTCACGGGGTTTCTAACAGGACACTGTCTCCTCAGTAGGCTGAAGCTGAGAAACAACGACGAATGCAGATTCTGTGAGGAAAATGAGGAAACACCAGAACACCTTATCACTGAGTGCGCCGAGGCGACGACCCTTCGTGCAATGAACTTTGGTAAGGCTGATGTCGAGGATGGAGAGCTGGCCTTTTTTGTTAAAGCCCTGAGACTGTATGATGAGTTATAACTCGTTGCAACTCAAGAGAGGGGAACATACACTACTATATATACAGTAGATCTGTAAGGTCGCGGTGATTAACTCCCCTCCTAAACATTCTACATCCTACAAAAGTTCATGGCACAATAAAAGTGAACATTTAAGTAGGTACTGTTTATTAGTAAAAAGTTCACTATTATTAGCGAATGCTAAAAGTCTGCTTAAATTTAAGCAGAGAGCAAACTAAAGTTTTTATTTTATAACCAGTTTATGTTGGTGAAAAAAAGAGATCTATTAAGATGCAAGTGAGGAAAGTAGATAATTACAACGGGAAGCTGTTAGCTGAAAACCAGTAAAATTTATGCGATGCGGTTTCTATAATTGCTTCGGATGTAGGATTTCCCACATTGTCCTTAACAATCGTTTAATTAAAACAGGAAATAATACGTATTATTATTCATAGAAAGAGATTGCTTTAGCTTTTCTAAGATGTCATCCGTTTGCTTTGCAAGAACTAATTAAACCAAAAACGTCAATAAAGAACTGAAAGTTAAATAATACCCCAGATAATAACGTGTCACACGTGTGATGAAAAAAAAACGGTGTCAAAGACAGCTGAGGAATGATAATAATATTAATTTTAGCGAGGTCAATCTAATCCTTTGACATAAAACTTGTCAAACATTAACGCTAGTTATAGAAAGATTAAAAAGAGATAGAACGTTTCCAGGCAGTCTAATTTCAAAAAGCCATATTTGTTCTGGAATTTTAAACTACACGATTTAAAAATCATTATAATATAAATATATTAGGTTTTTGGTTTTTAGTATTACAATTTTCATTTATCGTTGTTTTACTAAGATATTAGGTATAGTCAAGTTGTATTTTTGGTGGGAATGTTTTATGGTAGTAACTCTAATCTATATTCAAAATAAAAGTAAACAAAACAAAGCTGCAAATTGATTTTTTTTTCTGCGTTTGCGCTCTTGTGCTATTATACAGGGTGGTCGGAACTGTATTCTGGAAATTTCGGCAGCATATTCCGCAGATAAAAATTAGTAAAAAATGTTCTTATAAATGTATGTCCTAAAATGCTTAGTTTTTGAGATACAGGGTGTAGAAGTTTCATTTTTATTTCGAAGTTTTCCAAATAATTTGTGTAGTAACGTCAATATTTGGATGAAAATTGGTATCTGGGAGTTTTTTGACAGAAGAAATTTGATTTTGATGTCAATATGACTCCTATTGATAGGGGGCGCCATCTACATGTGGTTTAACTATTTTGAAGAGCGATAACTTTTCGTCCGTACCTGTATAAAACTACTCTGGGAAAAACTATACATTTCCGTGATTTTTTACGTCAAAAATGTCTCTTGGTAAAAATCGCTACGAGCAACCGTTTTAATGCATGTCATTTATTGCCAATAAATGACAGAATTATTACCAAAAAACAATATTGTCAAAAAAAGAAATAAACATGTTGAGTAGATAATTGCTTGACTAAAATGATAAATTTGGGAAAAAACTTTTTATTTTTTTAAATTAATCATAAGTTTTTCTTCGAAAAAATGATGATAGAACAGTTTCTGTTGAACTTTTGGCACAAAACATTTCAAATTTATGATTTCAGTCTTATAACTATTTAGTCAACATCGAGGTCAACATGTTTAATTTATGTCAATGATGACAGGTATTGATAATTTTATAATTTCGACTCCAAATATCTCAAGAACTTTTACTCGTAGCAATTTTTACCAAGAGACCTTTTTTAAGTAAAAAACGTCGTAAATGTATATTTTTTTACTCAGTATAGTTTTAGTACGGGCGAAAAGTTATTACTCTTCAAACCAGTTGAAAAATATGTTGGTGGCGCCCTCTACAAATAGGAGCCATATTGACATCAAAATCAAATTTCTCACGTCAAAAAACTTCCTGACACCAATTTTCAGCTAAATATTGACGTTAAGTACTTCAGAAATTATTTGGAAAAAATCGAAATAAAATTGAAACTTCTACAGCCTGTATCTCAGAAACTAAGCATTTTAGGACATACATTTATACGAACTTTTTTACTTATTTTTATCTGCAGAATATGCTGCCGAAGTTTCCGGAATACAGTTCGGACCCTGTATAGTCATGTATTCTCTTATTTGACAGACTTTATCTCTTTCAACAAAGCCTGGACGATAGAATGAATTTATTACCGATACTTCTTAATTCATACGCGTTCACTTCTGAATTCATTTGAATACTCTGTGTGATGCAATGGTCTTTCCTGAAGCAGACTATAGTTAGGCTTAAGTATTAGCTTTAAGTTAATTTGTGTAAGTAAATGCGTTCGGTGTATGACGCTGACATCTTAATCTTTTTATTTCTGCAAAAACTCCATACTAATTACATCCGGATATCCTCCTATATTCCCGAATCGGCATCAAGAAAAATAACGGCAGCAGTCGCTAAGCCGGCCAAAAATAAACCTCGAGCTATATTCCTTTTTTATCGTTTCCTGCTGGACATTTTTTTCTTATGCATTTGGATATTGATCATTTGTGTTCACACCACAGATCTATGTATTAGTAACAAGGCTTTTGTTATATTTTCTAATTATTGCAGTATTCTAAAATGAACGAATGAACTTGTCGAAGGGTTAATTTCTTCTCAAAATTTCGGTACAGTATTGCGAGAATCCTCATTATTTACTGCTATTGCTGCGATTTTGAGCACAATCCGGCAATTGCGACGTGATTGCTCTCGTTATTGCAGGATGAGGATTGCATTGTCATTGCATAATGATTTTAAATGATTGCATACGATACAAATGATTGATTACGATTGCAGGTGATTGTGGGTGACTGAGATGGATTTTTGGTACGTACTTATATTAAAAATTATCTACGTTAAGATAATTTAATATAAGTACGCAGCAAAAACACATTCATTCATTACTATGATAGTAAGACCCATGATTACCTATGGAGCAGTTACTTGGTATACAAAACTAGAACAACGTACAGCAAGGCAAAACCGTACAAAGTACAGGGACTGGCCCGACTTTGCATCAAAGGAGCCATGGGAACATGGCCAAGTACATCAATGGAGGTCATTCTAGACCTAACACCACTGCACATTGTCGTCGGTATGTCAATGCGATAATGATTAGAATGGTCATTAACGAAAACAGTACTGGAAGAATTGTCAGCTCAGCAGCTTCGAACACCCTCAAAAGGAAAATTTTACTCCTCCAAGTCCCAGTGGATGACATACCAAGAATGTAGAATAACTTTGATTAACACCTCACTGTAGTATTGAGCAATAAAAAGGATTGGAAGAGGGAAAGGTTTGCTCAGCAGGTGAAAGACCAAATCATAACGTGGTATACTGATGCGTTCAAAACCAAAGCAGGGACAGGGATAGGAGTATTTAGGTCGAAAACTAAATACTCCCAACCAATAGGCATCTACTCCATCGTCCTTCAGAAATCTAGGCTATGGAAAGATGCGTACAACTCATATAGGAACTATCGGAAACAAGAAATAACTTAAAATCTTATCCGATAGTCAAGCAGCCTTAAAAGCGATCATCTCAGTAACCATCAATTCGAAGTTAGTCAAAGAATGCCTAGAGAAGCTGAATAAATTAGGCAAAGATAATAAAATCCTCCTACTCTGGGTGGCGGTCCATCAAGGGATAGAAAACAATGAAAAAGCAAACGATCTAGCTAGAAAAGGAGCGAACACTTCGCTAACTAGGCCAGAACCATTCTGTTTCTCAAGTGGTAACCAACTTAAAGCAGAACCAAAGAATCTGAGACACTCTATTCGTAACCTGGAATGGGAATCGTCCAACGGTTTGAGACACTGAAAGATATTTCTCAGAAATTACGAGAAAAATCAAAGTTTTACTTGATTTAAGATTGTTCTTACAATCTTCTTGGGATTGTCGCAGGGTTTCTAACGGGACACTGTCTCTTCAGCGAACACTTCAGTAGATTGAAGGAACAACTAAGGAACAAGGGCGAATTCACGTTCTGTGGAGAAAACGGGGAAACACCAGAACACCTCATCACGGGGTGCACCGAGACCACAACCATTCTTGCCATGAAGTTTGGTACGACTGATATCGAAGATGAAGAACTAACCTCTGTGAAACCATCTCAGATACTGACGTTTATCAAAGCCTTTGACTGTATGATGAGTAAATTATAATTACTGTGTACTGTAATTAACCCATTATAATTTAAGAAAGGGGGATACGCTGTGAGATCGCGGTGATTAGCTCCCCTCCCATACATTCTACATTCATATTAATATTAAACACTTGTAGAAAAAATATTACAGTTTGCAAAAGTAAATTTTAGAGGTACTTTCTCTAGGTATTATGTGCAAGGGGTTTAAAAAATTAGTAATGAGTAACAGAAGAAAATTTTTGTTGTATCAGTCTCTCATGTTCATCATTAGCTAAGTTAAAGAAAATTTAGTTAAATAAACGAAAAAATCCTACAGATTAGTCTTCTTTTTACTGGATGGAATAAAATTGGGCCATAAATCTTATACTGTGATTTTATCCTGTTTTAAAGTAATCATTTCCTTGTTTCAGGTACTTTCTACAACCCCGGTCTAGTAAAAACCGTCCATCGTTGACCAATTCGACGCCGCCCGGTACCAGACTGTCCAGCGATAACAGTCTCGGTTCCTTACGACTGCAGATCCAATACACCGAAGACAGGGTGTTTCCTGCTGCCGTTTACGATCAGCTCAGGAATCTGCTATTGCAGAGCGCTCATATGCAGGTAATCTATTGTTGTTATGAATGATTCCTAATAAAATATTCAATTAAATACGGACGGCAGCAGATACAGAACGCGTTGTAACTAAAAATGTTTTATAATAAAACGACGATCCAGCGCTCGACGTTGATCAGCCTCATTGTGGCTAAGCGAGAATAAAAACATATTTAGTCAAAAATGGTTGTGACTAAAACTGTTTTGCTCTTTCTGTGTGTGGCCTGGCTAAAAGATACACAATGCTACATAGATGCACCATATTAAAATTTATTAAAATAACAAACAATACTTTTGTCGACAAAATAAACGCTCGGAGAAGGATCGATATTCGAGGCAGTGCTATGACCAATAGGTTAGTGTACTACTTCGATAAATATCAATTGCTTCTACTGTGTACTGTATTTTTTTTGTATTTCATCTACAATCCTCCCAGGTACACGTATTTTCGGGCAGTTTTACTCAATGTCTTCAAGCTATATTTCTATGTTCGTTCTACTACGCATTTCAAGAGAATTGATATTTTCTACTGTTTTTTTTCATGGTTTCTCTTAATTCTGGTTGCTTTTTTAATATGACAGCTTAAAGAATCATAATGAATAGTTTAAAATTCAGGTCGTAAATCCTGATAGAAGTCATTCGTGTTTTGGAATATTCTACATTACTTTTTATTTGGTTCTTACTAAATTCCTGCCCTGGACTGTTTTATCTAAGGCGAGTTAGAAGGCTTTTTAACATCTAAATAAGTAAGATGCAAACTGGAAGTCGAGGGCAATGTTATCCAGCAAGAAATGAAGTTTAAGTATCTAAGCATAGAAATCTCAGGATATGGTGATGTAGAGGCGGAGGTGCGAGAACGGACAACGAAGGCAACCAGAATAGCAGGATGCCTGAGTGACACAATATAGCGAAATAAAAACATTGAGGTGGAAACTAAAGCAAGAATTTACAAGGCAACGGTGCGACCAATAATGACATACACTGCAGAAACTTGACCTGATACAGCGAACACTGAACAACTACTAGAGACAACCGAAATGAGAGTACTACGCAGAATAGCTGGAAAGACGCTTTTGGATAGGGAGAGAAATGAAAGCGTAAGAGCATGCAAGGTGGAAAATGAAAATGAGTGGGTTACTTCAGTAGAAAGGAAGAATGGAACGCGCATCAGCAGAATGGACAACATAAGGATAGTGAGAGTTGCACGCGACAAATCATCGCTAGGTCGCAGAAGCTTAGGACGTCCACGAAAACGATGGAGCGACAACTTGTCAGTCTAACCGGTAGAGACGACGAAACCAAACCGGCGATTCGCCTAGTATGAAGAAGGAAGAATTAAAAGAAGTAAGTAGGCTGACTGCCAACTTACTTTAATGCTACGAATCCTTCCAATTGGACTTATGTAAAGTTTTCTTGGTTCAAGTCAACCGGATGCCGCCATATAAACAACTTTTATGGATGTTTCGCGCGTCTCACTTTTGACTTGGCTTAAAGCACACTTAAAGCCAAGCCAAAGATCCTTGGATTAAGTACACTTTGACGCTGCGCGCCTCACTGCTCAAAACATTTGATACCATCCAAGCAGCGTGCCAGTGGATGTGATGCAGGTACATTTGTATCGTGTCAACCGGAAAACGTCCTGTCAAAAAGCGTTGTGTTGATGCTCCAATAAAAGGGCAATGTGACCTATCTAGTAAACCTTTATTCTATTAAAATATTTAATACGGACTGTAACAAGGAAACATAAACTACAAAACTAATCTCTGCTAGATTCTGATCCGCAAAAGCATTTTTAGCAAGATTTTTAGCAATCTAGTGAAATAACATGTACCGTCTTGTATAATATGGTACTAAAAGACTATCGTACCTGTATTTCTGCAAACCAATCTCTGGTTTTGTTTTAAATCAAAGTAATTTAGTTTCAAGTATTGTAAAATTATATCGCGCGTTTCCTATATATTTTTCAAATCAAATGTAATTTTCCTTTGTCTGCGTCCGACAATTCTAAAGACGTTACATATTTAAGTGGGTGATTTAATAAATAAATCACACGTGGGTAGAATCGTTTCGTTATAATACATTCTAATAACGGTTTATGTAGTTAGTTAATTCAACAAGTTTTTTTATGGTTTATTAGATTTTTTTCTATGTAGCAAGTTTGTGAAGAATATGAATATCTTCAAACCCTTGATAAATTGTTATATTGAACCAATATCAATTAATTTAAAAAATTAACGTTGGTGAAAAAAAGTGGGTGAATGTTAAGACAATTAACGACTACGTCCACGCACTAGACATTGTTTTATCCAATTTTTTATTTAATTTTTATTGAATTATCTGAAAATTTAGTATTAAACATTATACTATCGATCTTTAGATAGATTTCTCAATCAGTATATTTAAGCATCAGTTTTTGGATTTAAGAACAAATCAAAATATTTTAGAAAATGTCAAATTCATGACTAACCGAAAAAAATTAAAATTTACACTTTTTTTCCGTTCCATTTGAAAAAATTGAGATGTGATTAAAAATACGATTTGGGCATCTTTTAACTGACCAGGACAAGACGCAAAAAACAATAGACGATCAAATTTATTTTTCCAAGGCATCTTGATTAAAATTAGTGTTTTTAACACAGCCATAACATTCTAGATTGAAATTTAAAATACGATTTTTTTAAGCGAAAATGTCAAAAGTTACCATATGATATGCCATTCTATTCAGAGTGTAATTTTCTATCGAATAAAGTAAAAAAAATACCGAGGGTGTTATTTAAAAATCAAAAGTTGTAGGTCACGGTGAAACAGGAAATGACTAAAAACAATTGAATACGTCAATCAATCCTAATTTATGTCATATACTATGTCATAGCCTACCAAATCTCGTTTTTTATCAGAAAAAAAAATAAAAAAATTATAGGGGTGAACCCTCGGGTAAAACACTTTTGAGAAACACCTGGTATATTATGATCGTGGCCCTAGGAAAATAATATCTTCTCTATACATACATAATATCAGAGAGAAAATGCAATCACAGTTTACTATAAAATGCTTCAATAGACCACAAAATTACATTCGCAACAATATCGCAAATCGCAACTCCTAAAAATTCAAACTCGCAGATAGAAATCACGGTCCCAGTTTACAAAATCACAATCGCAGCAAAGTCACAACAAAGTCGCAAATCGCAGCTATAGTAATGCAGGTTGCCTAAATTGAAACTTGCAAATAGAAGACATCGCAATCGCAGTTTTCTATGGGCCAATCGCAGGTTGCAATTGCAATTTTAAAATCGCTGAATTGATTCGCTCGATTGAATCGCAGTTTGCGATTTCTTGCTCATCTCTACTTTTTAGTGCTTTATAATGTAATTAAATGTCATTAAACCAAAGCTGTACCGAACGTTACAGAATTATTAGTTCTGTAAATAGTCCTTATAGAAATTTTTTGATTTTTAGTAATAAACTGTTATTTATTTTCGATTTTAGCCTATCACAGCCACGCCAGTGTATATTTTAGGAGAGATAATAAATAAGGTGGAGATTGCACAACCATTGGTGAGGATCTTCTTGGACTGCGGCAAAGTAGTTCCGGTGATAAAGTCACTGGCGGCTGTGGAAATCAGCAGTGTCACGTAAGTTGTTTTAAATATTTTTTTTCTTCTGTTAATACAACACATACTTTATGGCTAAATATACAGGGTGGTCCGAATTGTAATCGGGAAACTTCGGTAGCATATTCTGCAGATAAAATAAGTTAAAAAGTTTGTATAAATTAATTTCCTAAACTGTTTCGTTTTGAAGAGATAGTGTTTTAGAAGTTCATGTTTAATTTCGTTTTTTTTTCTAAATAATTTCTGAAATAACGTCGATATTTGGATGAAAATTTGTGCCTGGGTGTTAATTGACATCAGAAGTTCGAATTCAGTGCTAGTATGACATCTACTTGAAAGGGGCACCATCTACAAGTTTCTTAATTGTTTTGAAGTGGACGGAAACAGAAGTATTTTCGCCATTTTTACGTAATCACGGGAATTACATTAATCGCCGGGACTTTATGATCCAGAATTCTGGAACTTTGACAGAAAAACGTTACGCTTTCAAAGTGACTAGTGAAGTTGTTAAGCAGAATCGTTAAGCAGAACGCTAAGACTAGATTTTGGTATTCTCATGCCATACGAATTGTTTTGTGGATACGCGTTGAGCACATATTGGCAGCATCACAATTTCTTAGGTATCTAATAGTCAAATGTGGATAAAACTATGAAAAATGTCAATGTTACGTGAATTTCATAACCTATTGTTGAGTTTATGAAGGAAATGTTGAAGACGCTTCTCAGCGTTTTCGATGTTTTGAACAATATTTCAGGAGCTGACTTTCTAGATGCATTTTATCCATTTTTTCAAACAAATTCCATTTTGGCATACAAAGAACTGCTACGCTTTTTACAAGAAGCTTACCGAAAAACTAGTGTACTTAAAAATCATAAAAATAGTACATCTACATGCGAAAAATCTAGTTATGATGATGTTGGCTGACTTTTAGTGTGAGATTTCTTTCTTTTTCTGCTACCACGGTCTGTATTCCCAACGACAAGATCCCCAGTCGTAGTACCATTCATTATTTTGAGTAGTATTATTAAAAAATAGATAAGTTGTACACAAAAAAAACACTTAATCTGGCAATGACAAATAAACAGCAGTATGTCCACAAGGGACAAGGACATACTTCTGTTTGTCTACCGCCAATAGGCATACAGCACATAGAAAGTTTAAAGTATTTTTCTCATATAAGTTACAGAATTCGGGCCCAGATGTATAGTGTCCCAGGCGAGGGGTGTTTAAAGCAGCGTTTACACGATGCAAGGTTTTTAACAATTTACAAAAAGCACAAATGTTTGTAGAACGTCAGAAGTGTACATCTTAGTGTACACTATAGAAATCAAAATATCAGAGACCTCTGAAAGCGTTTTGGAATTAATAATTTTTAGATTTATCCATGGTTTTATTTGGTTGCTTTTTGATTTTTCTTTTTTTCTAACAAAATACGCAATTCGTCACTTAACGTATGATATAAAATATTTGCACCACGTTAACAATCTCTGTGGTATCCATAGTTCTTGCACAATAACTTGACTAGTGTAAACATACAATTTTAAAATGTTCAATTGCAAGTACTTGCAATCAAGTATTTGGGCAAACAAGATTTGCATCGTATAAACGCCGCTTAACCGTTCGAATTATACAGGGTGTTTCAAAACAAATGCGAAAAACTTTAGGGGGTGATTCCTTGTTCAAAATAAAGGGTAGTTTGCTTTATAAACGTTGGGTCAAAAGTCAACCATTAGGGAGATATCGCGGTACAAAGATGGCGGAAAAATAATGTTTTTATTTTTTATCTTGAAAACGAAAAGAGATAGACTAATGAAATTTTATCGAAGCATTACTGTTATGAAAACACACTTTCAGGTAATTTTGTTACTTTTTAAAATGAGTGGAAGGGGTTGAAATAAACTACCCTATCATTCTTGTTAACGAAATTTAAAGAAAAATCTTATCAAACACATGCAAATGCTTTAATTTGGATAGTTTAGTTTATTTAGAAACTTTTTTACCTCTTGTGTTTTTTTGATAAAACTCACCGATTGGAAATTAAAAAATAAAATGTAAAGCATTATATGTCAGGACAAAAAACATTTTTAGATTAAGAATCTCGTGATAATAACGATAATAATAATCATCTAGATAATAACGTATTGCAGTAGAGTAATGTCAAATAAAATAATATTAGGAAAATCCTATCCTAAAAAGTAACAGCGGCCGACTAGATTTTTTCCTAAAAAAATTACAGCAGCCCACTAGATTCTTTATCAGAAAATGTTTTTTGTGCTGACATGTAATGCTTTACATTTTATTTTTTAATTTCAAATCGGTGAGTTTTATCAAAAAAATACAAGAGATAAAAAAGTTTCTAAACAAACTAAACTATCCAAATTAATTTTTTTGCATGTGTTTGATAAGATTTTTCTTTAAATTTCGTTAACAAGAATGATAGGGGTAGTTTATTTTAACCCCTTCCACTAATTTTAAAAAAGTGAAAAAATTAACAGAAAGTGTGTTTTCATAACAGTAATGCTTCCATAAAATTTTATTAGTCTATCTCTTTTCGTTTTCAAGATAAAAAATAAAAACATTATTTTTCCGCCATCTTTGTACCGCAATATCTCCCTAATGGTTGACTTTTGACCCAACGTTTATGAAGCAAACTACCCTTTATTTTGAATAAGGAATCACCCCCTGAAGTTTTTCGCATTTGTTTTGAAACACCCTGTATATACATTTTCGCTTGGCAGTAAAATAATACCGTATGATCGAGAAAAAACGGCGTCAGCGTTGGCTATGAAATGAAGATCGCTGTCATTTTATATGTAAATTTATATGGGAAATGTCATCGATCGTCATTTCCCAGCCAACTAGACGCCGTTTTTTTTTCGATCGTACGGTATTTTGGCAATACATGTAAATTTTTTATCCGAGTGAGGCACCCCTCGGTCCCAGGTCTCTTGGTAAGAATCGATACTAGCAGCCGTCCTTAAGATATTTGGTATCGAAATAATCAATTCATTATTTCATAATTGACCAAAATTAAACATCTATTAGATTGAAATAATAAATTTGAAAACGTGTTTGCTTCAAATGTTCAGCTGAAACTGTTGTTATCATAATTTTTTCCAGAAAAAAATATCATTTTACATTGACACGATTCTTATTTTAGTATTTGATGGTCTTTTTTGTTATCCATTATTTTATGAAACATGGCAACATTTCTTTTGCCTTTTTAAAATCCAAGGATGTCTAGTACTCCTCTATTTAAGTAAACATTAGCGGTGCCGCCACTTATTATTTAATCGTCTCCTTCGCGTACGATGTAAACGAGTTTTACAGTATTTTTACTATTTCCCGTATTTTTGCTGCTATTATTATTATTGTGCCGTGGGCGTTGTCACATGTAAAAGGTAATTTTGGTATTAAAACGGAGCCGCTGCCCACACTGCGGCAGGACGCGTGGGATCACGCCGACACTTAGCAGGAGTGGAATTCCTGTCTAATGGGAAACCGTACGACAACGTTTATATTATTATTTCTCGATCTCGACCATCTGTTTGTTAATCTGGACGAGGATTTTGTTTTGAACGGTTTGTCACATCATCAAGTGACTGCGGCCAACTACCTATTCTATTACTAATGCTCATTATTTTCTAAAAAATATTATATTGGAATCTACTCGGGAATCTACATTATATTTATACTCAGAGATGGGCAAACACCGGGTATATTGAAGTTTGGGTAAATATCCGATATTTTTTATTGGAAAATTTATTTTCCAATTGTGAGATATGGATGTAATCTTTCCAGCTCTTTCGGTTGTCAATTTGTTTCTTTTTTTTATGATGAATGAAAGAAAATGTTTTAAATTATCTTTCTGTTTCTGCCGACGAAACTGGAGCAGTTAAAATTCTTATAGCAACTTTTATGTTGTTCCACACAGTCCTTTCCACCAAGAAATTGGAGATGTAGAATGTAGAGGGACTGCAACTCCATAAGACGTTTTTGGTCCGTAATTTGTATCTTGACCGGTAATTCGCTAAATATGTCATAATCCAAGAGAATCAACCTTCATATCCGTGGCTACTTTATAAATAAACTCCATTGTATCAATTTCTTGCTCTGGGGTGAGGTTTGAACCCTGATTTAATGGGTCAAGTAATCCAGCTGCAAAATGGGGTGACTTTAAAGCCACGCTCTTTTGTTTTGGCATATGACGTCAAAATGTGAGCTTCTTTTGAATTGAAATCTAATCTGTGTACCTGAAAAACCATAAATCGACATATTACTCAATTATTTATGAAATTTAGTATTTTCATCCCCTAGTCTTTATAAAGTCAGTTTTTAGTTTCGTTATTTTTGTCAAATAAACTAAAAAGCAAATCTGTGTATCCGAAAATCCATAAATCGGCTAGATAGAAAAAATAATAGTCAAATAGATAATAAAATAGACACCACTTATTTGCAACAAAAATAGGTAAAATTGCATTTTATTTTAGTAATAAAAATAATTGAGTAGGAAGCTTACCTGAATCACACAAATTCTTCTCAACCAACTCACAAATACTGCACAATAGCCTTAATTCTATCCAAAAAATAAATCACAACGCCGCGCCGCGCCGGCGCCGGCAGTTCAATTTAGGTAGAATCATAAGCGTTATAATATAATCGTTAGATGAATAAGCGAATTTTACAAGGGCAAGCGCTTTAGAATGGGAATATATTGGGTATATACCAGGCATATATCCACAATATCCCCTAATGGATATATTCCCTACACCTTCTGGGTATATACCAGGTAGATACCCAAATTTCTTTATTATACCACATTGAGTATTTGCTCACCTCCTTCATCACTGTTTATACTAGGTTAACTAGGAATAGCATGCGTACTTTGGTAGATCATATTCTAAATTGTAGGTTGTATGGGAGGGGGCTGTTAATCACCGCAAGCTTACACATCGATTGTGTCCTCCTTTCTAGGGCTACAAGTCATCATACAGTTTCAGGGCTTTGACAAAAGCCAGTA